AAAAGGGTTTACAGGGATGCAAAAGGGTTTACAGGTGCCCATGTGGTGTTGGGTTATCATGTGGTGTGTGGATGTTGGTTATCAAAAGGGTTTACAGGTATCCATGTGGGTGTTGGGTTATCAAAAGGGTTTACAGGTGCCCATGTGGATGTTGGGTTATCAAAAGGGTTTACAGGTGCCCATGTGGGTGTTGGGTTATCAAAGGGTTTACAGGTGTCCATGTGGATGTTGGGTTATCAAAAGGGTTTACAGGTGCCCATGTGGATGTTGGGTTATCAAAAGTTTACAGGTGTGTGGGTGTTGGTTATATCAAAAGGGTTTACAGGTGCCCATGTGGATGTTGGGTTATCAAAAGGGTTTACAGGTGTGCCCATGTGGGTGTTGGGTTATCAAAAGGGTTTACAGGTGTCCATGTGGGTGTTGGGTTATCAAAAGGGTTTACAGGTGTCCATGTGGATGTTGGGTTATCAAAAGGGTTTACAGGTGTCCATGTGGATGTTGGGGTTTACAGGTGTCCATGTGGATGTTGGGTTATCAAAAGGGTTTACAGGTGCCCATGTGGATGTTGGGTTATCAAAAGGGTTTACAGGTATCCATGTGGATGTTGGGTTATCAAAAGGGTTTACAGGTGGCCATGTGGATGTTGGGTTATCAAAAGGGTTTACAGGTATCCAAGTGGATGTTGGGTTATCAAAAGGGTTTACCATGTTGATGTTGGGTTATCAAAGGGTTTACAGGTGCCCATGTGGGTGTTGGGTTATCAAAAGGGTTTACAGGTGTCCAAATGGATGTTGGGTTATCAAAAGGGTTTACCATGTTGATGTTGGGTTATCAAAGGGTTTACAGGTGCCCATGTGGGTGTTGGGTTATCAAAAGGGTTTACAGGTGTCCATGTGGGTGTTGGGTTATCAAAAGGGTTTACAGGTATCCATGTGGGTGTTGGGTTATCAAAAGGGTTTACAGGTGCCCATGTGGGAGCTGGGTTATAAAAAGGGTTTACAGTTGTCCATGTGGATGTTGGGTTATCAAAAGGGTTTACAGGTAATATTGTAGATGTTGGGTTATCGAAAGGGTTTACAGGTGTCCATGTGGATGTTGGGTAGAATGTGTGACAGTGATTGGGGCATGTGTAACATTAAAGGTAGAATGTGTGACAGTGATTGTGGCATGTGTGACATTTAAGGTAGAATGTGTGACACCGATTGAGGCATGTGTAACATCGAAGGTAGAATGTGTGACACTGATTAAGGCATGTGTAACATCAAAGGTAGTGTGACATGTGGCATTGTGTACAGTGATTGTGGCATGTGTAACATCAAAGGTAGAATGTGTGACAGATTGTGGTGTTGTGTAACATCAAAGTGACACACTGATTGTGGTTGTAACATCAAAGGTAGAATGTGTGACATGTGATTGTGGCATGTGTAACATCAAAGGTAGAATGTGTGACACTGATTGTGGTAGTGTAACATCAATTGTGGTAGGTAGAATGTGTGACACTGATTGTGGTGTGTGTAACATCAAAGGTAGAATGTGTGACACTGATTGTGGTAGTGTAACATCAAAGGTAGAATGTGTGACACTGATTGTGGCGTGTGTAACATCAAAGGTAGAATGTGACACTGATTGTGGCATGTGTAACATCAAAGGTAGAATGTGTGACAGTGATTGTGGCATGTGTAACATCAAAGGCAGAATGTGTGACACTGATTGTGGTAGTGTAACATCAAAGGTAGAATGTGTGACACTGATTGAGGCATATGTGACATCAAAGGTAGAATGTGTGACACTGATTGTGGTAGTGTAACATCAAAAGTAGAATGTGTGACACTGATTGTGGTAGTGTAACATCAAAGGTAGAATGTGTGACACTGATTGTGGTGTGTGTAACATCAAAGGTAGAATGTGTGACACTGATTGTGGTAGTGTAACATCAAAGGTAGAATGTGTGACACTGATTGTGGCGTGTGTAACATCAAAGGTAGAATGTGTGACACTGATTGTGACATCAAAGGTGGAATGTGTGACACTGATTGAGGCATGTGTCACATCAAAGGTAGAATGTGTGACACTGATTGTGGTATGTGTAACATCAAAGGTAGAATGTGTGACACTGATTGTGGTAGTGTAACATCAAAGGTAGAATGTGTGACACTGATTGTGGCATGTGTAACATCAAAGGTAGAATGTGTGACACTGATTGTGGTAGTGTAACATCAAAGGTAGAATGTGTGACACTGATCAAGGTGTGTGTAACATCAAAGGTAGAATGTGTGACACTGATTGTGGCATGTGTAACATCAAAGGTAGAATGTGTGACACTGATTGTGGTAGTGTAACATCAAAGGTAGAATGTGTGACACTGATTGTGACATCAAAGGTAGAATGTGTGACACTGATTGTGGTAGTGTAACATCAAAGGTGGAATGTGTGACACTGATTGTGGCATGTGTAACATCAAAGGTAGAATGTGTGACACTGATTTTGGCAAGTGTGACATCAAAGGTAGAATGTGTGACACTGATTGTGACATCAAAGGTGGAATGTGTGACACATATTGTGGCATGAAGGGTTTATCAGTGTTTCAACAGAATCTTTGTGAATGTGAAATGTCATAAGATGCAAAAATCAGTGATAACTGTAGGCAGCCCGTCCATATATTACATGCTGAACGCTTCACTGAAGTCACTTGGAGTAACGCGCTTACAGATACGTTGACACAGCGCTGGCGTTTCCAATTTTACAGAAACGCCAATCCTCCAAAACACTAGCAGCAGCTCATGCAAATGTGACAGACAGAATGAAGCATGCAACCCTGATACAGCCTTGATGACAGCATCCCGTGACAATATCAGGTTGTAACTCGACTCACGGGTACTCGAAGTATGTGTCCTCCGACCCGCAGCTAGAGCTTGTCCTCTGAAGGCAGCATAGGAAGCAAGCAGAGACAAGTTTACAGAACCGACACCACACCACACAGTGTTACATCTGTACTACCACAGAGCCCTGTAAACCTGGCTCCATATGATATAGAGAATTCTGGTACTAACCAGTGTGCCAAATAGCCACTGGCCCGGTAGCCCATGTCTAGTAAAAATCCAGCAAGGCTAGTAAATCTCCACAGTCACTGGCCCGACTGGCTAGTGAATTTTCATGAGGTTATTTTGTAAATATATCTCTCTGACATGTTAAGTTATAGTACACTTCTAAATCACGCAAGATTCTGGCCTGATAAAAATGTTCATTATGTTAGCAGCTTAATGATGAAATCGGTGTCTGCATTCACACTTTGGGCTTGTAAATTATTTTGTGGGCTCGTTACTTTCAGACATAGCTAGCCCGACTGGCTAGCAAAATTGGGGAACAATTTTGCACACCGGTACTACAGAATAACAGAATTACTGGTAAGTCTGTATTATTATTATCATATAACATTTTAAAATATTTTGGTGTTATTCAGATTTCCCAAAATTATACAAAGATAAGGTTTGATATGAACTAATTATGAATTAATTATTAAACTTTAAGTTTGTCATCTTATATTTATTTAAATTATATGATTATTTCTCTGTTGAATATCAATTCTAAGATATAGATTTTAACTGCATTAGTGTTGGGAATTGGTTGAAATCTCACAATTGATGACTGCTTCATCACCAACAAACAATCATTGAAAAAAAATTGGTTAGCGTCATTTTTCACATTTTCCTATCCAGGTTGTTCTTGCAGATATGTATAACATGATGCAACTTGCTACTTTAAAGTGATAACTAATATATCATGAACATAAACTTCCCGGAGTCTTCAAGAAATATTCAGTCATGACTTTTCAGTTAGTGAAGTGAGTTTTCTAAGAAATACACACGTTTTCAGGCCTTGACAACTTCGAAGATATGTTCCATTGTCAAGTGTTTCAAAGACCAAATCAGTAGTTCCAAAATCGTTTGTGTTCGATTATGAGACAATGTGATTGATTGCTTGTCCGTTTGGTCACTGTGACCAATCTTTGATTATTTCAATTAATCGGAACACCACTAATAGACATACACTGTAATTAAGTTATTTATGTACCCACATACTCTAACTAACTAGGTTATTCATAATTATTTTTGGTGGCCATCTTCTATGATCAAGTTATTTCTGTAGCTGTATTCTGTAATAAACGCCAGTGACCATGTTAAAAGCATAGTTAATAAATAGTACAAATATAGAGCATAAACAACATCATCACAATACACAAGATACTTTCAGCTAAAAAAACATAAAAGGCAACAAAATGATAAAGCGGCCTTCACACGGCAAACTAAAGTTTGACAACACATGTTGTTAAAATTTTAAAAGTTGTCAAACTCGCGTTTTCACACGTCAAACACATGTTGTCAAACTTTCATGTCATTTGAACGCAACGTCACATCACGTGACAATTTCTTCGACTGCAATTGGTTGTTTCTGAACAACAAGAGTTTGACAACACTTCACACGTCAAACTCGAGTTTTACAACACGGAAATTTGGTGGAAAAGTTGGTGAGAATAGAGACCAATCCTATTTCTTGCCAACAGTTTGACAACTCTGTGAAATTGGTGTTGGTAGCAAGTTGTTGGAATGTTCACACACTCAAACTCGAGTTTGACAACATGTGTTGTCAAACTTTAGTTTGCCATGTGAAGGCCGCTTAAGTCACTGACCATGAACCATAAAGAAAAATGAAGTATTGAATTCGAACAAGTCCACTATGCTTCATACATGAACAAAATATTAACTTAATAAATAATAAAAAAGGAGAAATGATGGCACAAAATATGTTTGAAGATAACAAATAGTTATATGAAATTAGTTTTGTTATTTACACACAGCTAATGAAGTGAAGAGTACCACAGCCAATTTAACAGGGAGCACCACAGTAAAATGAACAGGGACAGACTTGGTTTAGTGCTGGCGGCAGCGTGCCGTGACATTTTTACAGAGCTACAATCATCACACACCAGACTAGCCACGTACCGAGCGATTGGCCAGAGCTCCACTTCCTTTCACTGTTGCATTCTGGGCCAAGTACTTCCGGAGTGGAGCACTTCCCATTCTCTGGGCAGCTGCCCCCGCATAAGGTTGACCTGGAATACCAACGACTTTTTTTCTAGGGCAACAGCTGACTTTATTAAATATGTACTGACCAATTGTCCCATATGAAACAGACAGGCTGTGATAAGACTGAAAAACAGTTCAACTCACTCACTCACTCATACAAGTCAGCCTTATCAGAAAATCTTATCAGAATTTTTTTAAAAAGTCTCACCATGCATAAGAAAAAGTATTTGGCATTCCTAAAGGAATTCAACTCCGCACAGCAAGTTGTAGCACCTTATACCACTGTCCTACCAGAGCCCACCATACTTATATGTAAATAATCATCTCTGGATCAGTCAAACCAAACAATCTGGGTACTAGGACACATAACTGTATAGTCAGATCATCTTATATAGCTCCCTTTTACTACAGTCAATGGGTGCAAGGGACCTTTTCAGTTCTGGCATCTCACTAGGTCGCTACATAAGAACACGACTGTCAGCACTCACCAGGGATTGGATCTGGCCGAGTGGACTGCTGTCGGGACTGACGGCTCCAGGTGCTGTTGTCGTTGCCATACATCAGTGGGCGGGACTGGCCAGTGTGGGGGTGACAGGCTTGGGCGGAGGTACTTCCATGGGGGTGTCGCTGAGCAGCAAGTGACGGAGGTGGCTGCTTCTCTCTGTAACAAGATGTATAGCAATGACAGTCATGTTCACCATTGGTCAAACACATATGTATGTAATAGCTGATGCAGAAACATTGGGTACCTGCTCTGAATATATCAACATATGTTACGCGCACAACATTCTCGTCGGAAAAGATGATCCAGTCCTTCATCAACAAGTCACTGCGCAAGATCCTCAGAATCTGGTGGCCAGAGAAGATCAGCAACCAAGAACTTTGGCAAAGAACAGAACAGCTACCACCTTCCGTGCAAGTCATCAAAAGAAAATGGACATGGATTGGGCACACCTTACGAAAAGACCCAGAAAACACCACCCAAGAAGCTCTACAGTGGAACCCACAAGGCAAGAGAGCGAGGGACGTCCCAGAAACTCATGGTGAAGATCAACCATGGAAGAGATTACTAAAGCTGGTTACTCCTGGAACACCATTGTCCAACACACCCAGAACCGAGGCAGATGGCGGTCGATAGTCTGTTGCCTATGCTCTACCAAGAGCGAGAAGGCATAAGTCAAACATATGTTACAAAACAGTCCTCAACACAAAGTAATGTTGGCAACATAACTCCAACTAGTGGATCTCACAGAAGTTCATCTAACAGAGCTACAACAGTGACAGTGCTAAGGCCACTGCACAGAACAAGGCCCAGGACAGGAATCAGATATATTACAGTTGGTCGGAATTGAACCTGTTACATCTAGATGTTGAAGTCTTGTTCAGATGGTTTCTGAGCCCAACTCAGTCACCTGCTCCTGTAGAAGACCTGATGAGTCTCAGAATTGCATCTCACATGTGGAGATACACATAATTATGTCTAATAATCGCATCTCACCTGCGGAGATACACACGTCTAAGAATGACATCTCACCCGCAGAGATACAAACGTCTAAGAATTGCATTCTACCTGCAGAGATACACACATGCTGAAGAATCGCCTAATAATCGCATCTCATCCGCGGAGATACACACGTCGAAGAATCAGATCTCACCCGCAGAGATACACACATGTCTAAGAATTGCATCTCATCCGCAGAGATACACACGTCTTAGAATCGCACCTCACCCGCAGAGATATAAACATGTCGAAGAATCGCATCTCACCTGCAGAGATACAAACATGTCGAAGAATCGCATTTCACCCGCAGAGATACACACGTCGAAGAATTGCATTTCACCTGCGGAGATACACACGTCGAAGAATCGCATCTCACCTGCAGAGATACACACGTCGAAGAATCGCATCTCACCCACAGAGATACACATATGTCGAAGAATCAAATCTCACCTGCAGAGATACACATATGTCGAAGAATCGCATCTAACCCGCAGAGATACACATATGTCGAAGAATTGCATCTGATCTGCAGAGATACATAAATGTCTAAGACATCTCACCTGTGGAAATATACATGAGTCTATGGGGCATGGTGGGCGAGCTGGCTAAGGTGCCACGCTAGTGATCCAGCGAGCTTGAGGTGATGGGATTGAGCCCACCTGTGACCGGGTGTAAAAACCTTAGAGTCAACTTTGTGTGCAGACTCTTTCAGTGTTGTCACAACCCCTAGTGTACAGTACACAACCCTGTGCACTTAAAAGAACCCATGAATCTGTTGGTATGTGACCAGATGGTGGCCACATGAATAAATGCAAACACCTAGTTGCGGGTACAGCAACATGCAGTCAACTTGGACAAAGTACTGTGACTAGGTGTCCCAGTCCATCCAGCTGTGAATGGGTACCTCATAAGGATGGGAAAGCCACAATAACTCGGTGCGCCTAGTGGCTGCAAGAGTTGTATACTTCCCCAAGGAGTTGAGATTGATAATATGCCGTGCCGTTGAGATTGACATCCAGTGATCGAGGGAAAAACAAAGCGCCTTTGTGCAGCTGATCTGGATATCGGCGCTATACAAATGTTAGCATAATGATAGAGTCTAAGACATCTCACCTGCGGAGATACACATAGTCCTGCTTGTTTCCAACATCCACGTTGATTTCCGTCAAGGACTCGTTCTCCCTTGGTGTAGAGTCTACATCATCATCCTGCACCAGATCCAGGGCTGAAAGTTCATACATAGACATGAGACATTTTCTTGTCCACAACCATGGTGGCACAATTTAGGCAAGGCATCATTTTTCAGTAATTTTATCTGATCAGAATTGTTTGCACCTTTCTAGAGACATCATTGTCTTATCATCAGTGTAAAGCTCCTTCACTGGCTAATTGGTTCAGATTATGAAAAGTATATGAATTAATGTATCAAAAGGCAATAAGATAGTCAGTGGTTAACATGAATATGTCCATTTGAGACCGCCTCCGTGGTGTATCCGCCCGAGAGCCGGAAGGTCGTGGGGTTCGATCCCGACCGCATCATACCAAAAGACGTTAAAATATGGTACTTGTTGGTCCCTGCCTGGCTCTCGGCATTAATGGGTACAACAAGGACTGGTCGGCTCGGAGTCAGTATAATGTGTCTGAGTGGGGTATTCATGCTTCACTGGGGCATGGTATCTCAGTGGGCTAGCACTATAAAACCAGCTTAAGTCTGGGCTAGTACAAGCAGCCGCACATACACATACAAACGCATGCACGTCGTCATATGAGCGAAATATTCTCGAGCACGACATAAAACCCAATTTCACCTCACCTCATGTCCATTTGAACTTTCATTTCAGGCGAGCTACAAAATGTTGAGAGCTCAGACCAAAATCTACATGTTATCTTAACCAATATATCCACAGAGAAATTATCTTAAAACTTTTAAACTATCTTAAAAGGTCTTAAGTCTTTTCATATCATGTACTGAAAATGTCATACAGAAATCATGAATTTCAGTACTACATCAGCATGTCATGTTATCTTACATTGAACTTGTTCCTCATCCTTCCCATCTTCGAAAGCATTACGTGTGAAGCGATGGGCTGCAGTTGTCCAAGCTATGGCCTACAAGTAGAGGAGGACTGTTAGACAGTATTGAAATTAGCAAAGCAAGAGATACATTAACTCATTCTCAATATACAGTTAAATACTAGTACCTTTATAACGAACTCCAAGGGACCACTGAAATTAGTTCGTTATATCCGTAGTTCGCTATTCACTTTTTTATATAAGTTTTTTTCGGGACTTTTACAACAGTTTGCTATATAGCCGTCAGTTCGTTATATCCGTGTTCGTTATAAAAGTATTCCCCTGTAGCTAATCAGTCCATATCCCTCTGACAGGTATTATGATTGATATATAAATGTCAGCAACAGTTAAAGATGCTCATATCATCCAAACCACAATGGTCTGCTACAAAAATAGTATGATGTTTAACGATATTTGTCTTATGATATATATATATATCTACATATACAGGGGCATAGATATGCAGGGGCATACCCATCTGTTTGAAAAGTACAAAGTCAGTTTGGTCATGGAGCTAGACTATCAGTTTGATCAAGGGGCCTTATTATCAGTTTGGACATGGAGCTTATTATCAGTTTGATTGATGAACTATATTATCAGTTTTGTCATGGAACTACACAATCAGTTTGGCCTTATTATCAGCTTGGTTGTCAACCTACATAATATGTCAGGAAGCAACACTATCGGTTCTGTTGTGGGGCTACATTATCAGTTTATTTATGAATCTACATGATGAACTTCCTACCTGGCCATTAGGGCGACACAAGATGGAAGTACATTCCGGTCCAGTGCCCCACTTCTGCTGTTCCTTCCACACAAAGTCCGAGGGGGGCTGGTGGAGGATGGGGTCGTTCATCCCTGACCACACCGTGATGGTGGAGTTGGATGGGAACTTGGTGCGAGGGGGAAGCGGTACACTGCCACTGGGTGGCCTCCCACGTTCTGCTGCAGGAGGAAGCCTCCAAACTCTAGTTCCTGTTCCAATATATACACGGTCATCATGCTACTTCCAGATTATCATCGGCACTAGAAGCTGTAAGTTGGGTCTGAACAGTTTTGCAGAGATTTCATATATTATGCAGCCATATTCCAGCCATACCATGTCAGCTTGATTTAGTGAGTGAGTGAGTGAGGTAGTTCAGTTTTACGCCACTTTTAATAATATTCCAGCTATATCACGGTGGGGGACACCAGAAATGGGCTTTACACATTGTACCCATGTGGGGAATCGAACTCGGGTCTTCGGCGTGACGAGCGAACACTTTATCCACTAGGCTACCCAACCGCCCGCTTGATTTAGTGAGTGAGTGAGTGAGTAGGGTTTTATGTCACAACATGGAACACCAGAAATGGGTTTCAATATTGTAACAATGTTGGAAATCAAACCCAGGCCTTTGATGTCAAGCTTTATCCACTAGGCCATCCCTATGTGACATGTCCAGACGATTAAGGCATCAGGGCATGACAACAATTCATGAGTCAAGTCACACAGCTTGATTGCCCATTCCCCATTTTAGTCAAGCTAAGATTTATGTTCTTTGAGCAACATTTCATCACAGTCCTTGACAATGGTACAAGAATCGGTATCAAAACGTTGCACTCACAAAATAAAAGAAGTTGTTATCCATAAAGATTTATGACCAAAAGTAAAACTATCTTATCCTTCTTGTTTTCTTTATGCATCAGGTATTTGAAAAGATTTTAATTTTAGCGTATTAATCCAAAAATAAAACATAATATCTACACTTGAAATAACCGTATCCTATAGGTTAGCAATATTAACAGCATGATTGTGTGCTGTGATATCTGAGATATACTTGGGCTGTGAAAATTCCACTATCTGAGACGAATATGACACACATCAATGACTCTTGGGTAATGAATACGAATATTGAGTAACAAATAACAAGTCAGCGGTTGACACGTTATTAATTATATTCAATGAAACAATAACAAAATAGCTACTATAGTATTTGACATGTTTTGACTGTGATGACAGTGCTAATTTACCACAATGATCAGTGATCACATTATTGACAAAATAAATATACAAATGTTTGCAATGATCTTGCCTGGCTTGTTAGAATATATTCCATTTCATGCAATTTTTGATAAATAACACCACAATTCTCGTCAAAACACTCCTCTTTTAAAAAGTTATGAGTATTTGATTCTAGTCATCGCAAAAAAGTCATGAAGGATACAGTTTGATTCACCAACTACGCGAGTGAATCGTAATGGTCAATACTAAATGCTGAAATGTCACATTCACTGATAATGAGGATTTTCTCACCTGAGGCCCATCATTGAGGAGTCGGACATATTTTCCATCTTGTTGTACCTCCATGATCTTCACATCTCCAATAGCACTGCGGGCACAAGCCATTGTGTTAGAGTCAGTAATGCTGGTGTAGGGTCACTCACCACTACACAGAAGGACAAATAGTGGCACAGGTCACTGACAATTAGCAGCACATGCGTAGGCAATGAAATATCCTGTAATCCTATGAAAGTCCACCACCTTCAGTCTGAATGTAATCCTCTTGGTATGGGCACCAGTGTATTTTCATGAATATCACAAATATCTTCAAAGGAGCATAAGGGGAGGTAACCCTAATAATTCCAAACCACTTGTCTCCATTCCACCCACTAAAAATTCTTTTCATGCATACATAAAACACTCAAAAAAACACTTCAAAAGGCCATGTGACAGTTCACTGATATTTTGTGGTTTGGGGTATTATGCTCTCTTAGTCTGGTATTCATCAAACTGTTCCCAAATATTAATTTGGAATTCAGCTGTGATACAGGTCAATAACCATTTCAGAAACCTATGAAATCAACCAAAACATTTAATCATTTTCTGAGAATATTGACTCAGGAATACACCTGGAACTGGATGAGACTAAATCCTCAAAAGGGCAGAACTTGAGGACTCAACAACGCTGCACTGCTATATGTCAGACTGTTTCACAAATCCACAACTACAAATTGCTCCAATTTGTGACTGTCCTCTAAACTTCCTACAAGTTTCACTTCCATAATTTTGCCTTGAAACAAACACAACAGAATGTTAGAATTCCTAAACCTCCGTCCAGTATGATGTAGACTACCAGAACTAAAATACTGTAGTGTAAGGATGAAGTGTATAATCAGCCTGCCACCTCTAACTGCGGCCACTAACTACAGGAGCTGGTTTCTATGTACAGGCAACTCCACTAAGCCCTCTTGAGCTGTGCTGGGTGTTACCGTTAATTTATATTCAAATGATCTGCTATTGTGCAGTGTACCAACACAAATACTGATAAGAAGATTAGCACTACCGAACTGTGCCTGAAAGGCAGAGGTTTGTGACTTTTAACCTCCCTCTGTAACACAGATCTGTGACACATTGTGTTACACATTGTGTTAGACATTGTGTTACACATGGAAGGAGCGATCGCCCTACACTCAACCTTTCTTGCTCGGCCAGACTTGACAACCTGTATATGGCCTGATGATTGCCACCATTTTAAAGCTGTATTATGTTGGAGGCAGGCTGTCAGTCAATGAGCCTTGCTTTAATAAGAGACTTGTGGGCTCTGTTGAACACTGTACATTAGTGAGAGCTGTATGATCAATATATATTTGATAAGAAATAGATAGAGAAAGTCGTACCAGGCCATTGTCAGCTGTCTAATCCACCATATCATGGAAGTCCACAATGTGCTCAGTTGGATTTTTTCAAGCTGAATCCCTGGCCCATGTTACAAATCATTTTTTGTACAAATATTTAACAACTGTTTTTTTCTAATCTTCCCACAATCAGGCATGTCACTGAGCCAGGCCACACAATTCAATAGGACTAATATAACCATCACAGGTTGCTACCCGTTAAGGTCCGAGTTAGAATGAATCTTCAGTAACCCATGCTTGTCGTAAGAGGCGATTTACGGGATCGGGTGGTCAGGCTCGCTCACTTGGTTGACACATGTCATCGGTTCCCAGTTGCGTAGATCGATGCTCATGCTGGATTGTCTGGTCCAGGCTCGATTATTTACAGACCGCCGCTATATAGCTGGAATATTGCTGCATGCGGCGTAAAATTAAACTCACTGATTCATTCACTCACTCATAGGTTGCTAGTGAACTACCATTCCATGTAATTTCCATGGGGACATATTTCCATGGCAAAGGAAAGTAAAAATGTTTTAATTTCTCGAAACTAAAAAATCTTCAAATAAATACATGCACAAATGTTTTTTATATATTTTGTTAGCAAGGAAACTTAAGGCAATAATCATGTTGGAATACTGAACAGGAACTATGAAAGGTATGCGGGTACTCAAAAGTTCACAGCTTTGTTTTTTTTCAACCTCACACTGTTAATCAATAAATCTGACACTTGAAATGACACAAGATAAGATTGTATACTGTCTGCACGAAACGACACAGAAATACTGACAGTAACCTCACGCTGTCTGGGTAATGGTAATCTGACACAAGATCAATGGCAACAAGGTCTTGTATCAAGTAGAATCTGTAGCACTAAAGAATGCAAAAAATGTCCTGCCTGGTAAACTCACGATGACATCAGACTCATTCCGTTGATTCTTTTACTTGCACTTCAGTGATCTAACACTTGAAAATTGATAAAAAACAATACAAAAGTGTTTGGAAATACTGAAACAGGCCCTTCACAGTCCAGTGGAATGATTACATACCGGTACCAATCATACAAGGCAGAAAATGGCAAACATACTTTGTGAATTCCTTCTCTGGGACCTTGACCTTACACTTTGGCCACTTAAAACCTATCCCAATCTGGGACCCATACTTATGGATAACATGTGCCAAGTTTCACTAAACAGCCCACTGTAGCATAATTGCTTCATGGTTTAACCTGATTTTGATGATCACGCCATCCTTTGTTGACCTTGGAATTTCATTTGACGCATAGATCAATCATGTCAAGGTCATCCTGAAGGTTATAGCCTGAAGAAAAATTCATTTAAATAAGTCCCAAGACGTATTTGCCCTCCCTCTTACAATGCTGGAAAGCCCTCTAGATTCACTAAGTTGTCTTGTACGACATGTGTTGGTTGCCAGGAACAGAATCTACTACAAATTGCCACTTTAGGTTCTAGAAAGGCAATTCATGTGTCTCTTGACAAGAAACTCATGCAAGTAAGGGGAAGGTCAAGCAGAGATTTCTCAGAAGGTAGATCGCAGAACTTACTAAGTAACACAAGCAGGTGGAAAAGTGGAAGAAACCAGTGCGTTCAAGCCTGAGTGGTGCGAGTGAGGTGACACACTGGTGTACCACATCCCCACCCTCCTTATCCCCCTTTGGTCTCAGTAACACAGTCTAATCATTGATACAGTATGTGTCTTCGGATTTCTGTCCTGCAGCTATCTAAATTGGACAGAAACGTACCCTAGACAAAATCGGGAATACAGAAATGTACCCAAGGATGAGTCCAATTTCTGCATTGTGCCATTTTCTTGATTGGAACTGTCATACTGTTGTATTGGATGCATTTTATTGCGTTAAATAAGAATCGAGCATACACAGTAACAAATATTTCGTGGTGTGCAATACCAATCGAAATCAGTTAAAGTCAGGAACAACTACATACGATTTTGGTTTTGGGTTGCAGAATATAGATTCATACCGTTTAGGGTACCAGGTACGTTTCTGTATTTTGACTTTGTTGAGGGTACATTTCTGTGTACAGAAACGTACATGGGGTACATATCTGTAGTACCTGTGCTGACAACGACTCTTTCAGCGGGATTAACTGTCACCATCACTTCAAAACATAAAGGCATAAGAACAGTCCATATTTTCTTGTGCAAAGAAAATGTTATGCTTTAAATATTACTTTTGTATTAATCATAAACAGATGTTATGCTTATCATAAAAGTACAATACTAACTTGCAACAAGGGATTTTACACTGCAAAATGTTTAGAAAATATGAAGAACATTTCCTATAATTCAGACACCAGGACAAACACTACTGAAGTCCAATAGTCATCTTTCATGGTTAGCTGGGTCATATTAGAGTTACAGGATTAGTGAATTGCAGATGTGGTTGTGCACAGAAAGGGAGGTAACTCTAAAACATTTCAATGGCATATTTCATATGCAAATTGTACCTCTTGTTTTCAGTTCTGAAAACCATGCTTTAAAATCATGGCGGTAATTGGACCCAGGTCTGCATTGCTTTAACTACGAGTCTACCCAAACACCCAAGTAATATATGGAAAACACACAAACTAATTGTAATCAAACTCTTTGTAATCAATCCATCTCAATCAATCATGTTTCCATTAAGTTGAGAAAATCTTGATCATAAGCAATTGTGCCAACCAATTCCTTGCACTAGTTGATACACGCTTTCAGTCCATTTCAAGAACACTTCTACGAAGTACAGTTTCACCAAGGGGCACTATTGCACACAGGGAATCATGTAACAGTGACTCCCTCATGTATCTTGGTGTTTCTCTAGAACAGGGCCATCAACTACAGCTCCACCACATGACACCACAAGAATCATCGGGACATGTCCTACTGATGGAGAGTAATATGGAGATGCTTGTCTACTTATAGTATAAGTTATACCCCACTTTTGCCTGATTATCATTTTTTACCTCTACTTAAAAATCCCAAAATGTAAAAAGGCAGTAGTCAACCACTTGATTTATCTGCATAGCACTATATATCTAGACAAAAATGGGTGAGTTCTGCTTAAAAAATTAGTCTCAACCTGTCATCATGAAAACATAAAAAATTACCAAAAAAAGTGAGACAGTGTGTAAGTATGGCTTTATGCCGCTTTTAGCAATATTCCAGCAAATATTATCACTGTGAGGACACCAGAAATGTGTTTCATACATTGTACCCATGTTGGGAATCGAACCTGGGCCTTTTGGCATGACAACGAACACTTTAACCACAAAGCTACCTCCACCCTAACCAAAACACATACTCCTTAAAATCAGAAGGCCCTAGCTCACCTCTAGACTGACCTAGATAGCAGGTTTCAGCAACAAGTATTCAACAGTGAGATCTGATCCCGGTACAGAAGAAGGCAGACAGATGGACAGACACACAGAGATGCTATCACTATTTCACGTTTTTCAAACCAGGGCTAAATCACCAAGGGACAGGTCCATCGCACACCTGCACACTCAACCCTTGTATCTTACCCGTAGGTATGTTGACCAACTACAGTAGTGTGGTAAGGGCTAGGGCTGGAAGTTTATGTACACAGAATTACTATTTACATACAAGTGTGTTTCACATTACCGACAACTGATATCAGGCTTTTAATAATATTCCTCTGTTTCAAATTGTTTTCCCAAAAATAATAATTAAGAAGCCCCTCTGTACCATGAGTTTGAAAATGTGCCTAGTTGAAAATATAACATGTAACATATACCATATCAGCTATTTCTTATTATTTCGCTTGAAGTCAAAGTTCTCTTCTTGTTTTCATTTAAAAAAAAAAAATCTTTTTTCAGTCTTGAAATAATTAAACATACTCAGTATGAAGAAACGGAAACTGATCTGAAGCATATTAATGTGCATTCTGGAAAGTTGGTTTTGGAGCCCTATAGGCCAAATGATTAAAAAAACTAAACAACTTTGATATCTCCTGCTCACCTGGATGTTGCAACGGTGTAGTCATGGTGGGTGGAGCTGGGAGGGCGCTCCAGGGGGCTGCTCTTGGGTCGGAGGGAGCTGTAGAGGGTGTCCCTCTGTAGGTCCTGGAACATCTCATCAAAGTAGTCCTTGCCCTGCCCCAGGGAGGTGGGAACCAGGGGTATGTTGCGACTCCTTGGCCCTGAAACTGAAGGGAGAGGGGTTAGGTTAGGGAAAGTATGTTATCTGATGGTGAGCGGGTCATTTCAGGGTGACAGGGGTTATCTGAGGATGCTAGGAGATTAGCTGTGGGTGAGGGAGTAGTTGAGGATGAGAGGGGCTTTGATTTAAATTTAATTTATCATCATAAAAACGGATTAGCTAACAGTCAAGGCAGTGCTGGAACGACTTTAGTCAGACTTGCTCGGACGATCAGTTACTGGAGTCTAGTTCATTATTTACAGCATGTTAACCTGAGGTGTGCGTGGGTGAGCTGAGGGTGAGGGGCTAGTTTAGGGGTGAATCTCTTACCTGTGTGTGAAGGGCTAGCTGAAGATGTGAAGAGGTTAGGTGAGGATGCTAGGATAGTTGAAGATGTGAGGTGGGTAGCAGAGGGTGAGAGGTGGGGTGATTAGGATGAGAGTGACTAGCTGAAAGGTGAGAAGGTGAGCTGAGGGTGAAGGGCTAGCTGAGGGTGAGGAGTGACAGGATGAGCCAAGGGTGAGGGGCTAGCTGATTATGCTAGGGAGTTAGCTGAGGGTGACATGTGGGTAGCTGAGGCATGTAGAGGACCAATCATTTGATATATATAACAGGCCATGTGAACATTGTATCAAAGAAAATATATTGTCCCAGAAATGGTTTGAAAAGGAAAATTGTCGCACTACCATATTTTGGGCCATTGATAAAATTAGGACGATATCTGATTTTCCACATGCAGCTGAAGAAAGGGCTAGTCTCTTTAAAACATTCCCATTTTTTCAAGAATATATAACTTGGGCATTTCCAAAGCCAAAATCATTCTTCTAATTTCAGTATTTCTTGTTTGCTGGGTTCCATAAACCATCTTAAATATATTACTGAAGTTAACCAACCTGGAGCAGACTTTGCCCTCTGATATTTTTGTGAAGTGACTGGACCACGAGGTGTCTCAGGAGGTGATGGCTCCACCTGCAACCGGTTTACACTGGGCGACGTCTCGTAAATGTACTTGGAGGTGGACATAGGGAACTCCAGAGTGCTGATGGGCTCAGTTGGGTCCAGATAGTTGGGAATGCAGGATGTGGTGAAGTCAGGCTCGTATGGTGAGGTGGTGCCCAGGGGCATGGTGTAGTCTTGTAAGGCAGAGCAGGCGATGGTGTCTCCAGTATAGATTGGTGGCACGGTGGGGATGAAGGAAGACGAAGCAGGGAGGGATGTGTTAAAGTTCGCCATGCCTGGTGGTGGGGTTGAGTAGGGGTAGGCGGTGGGGGGCAGTGGTCTCTCGAAGGTCATCACTGCGGAGGCTGCTTGTGTTTGGCCGGCATTCCTTTGGACTTGCAATCTGTGGGTGAAGCGGCTTACATTTACTGTCAAGTAATTGAGATAGAAATAACAATATTTGAGTAATATTAAGATTAAGAAGAAGACCGTTCTCATTCATCTCTTCTCTCTCTACCTAAGCTTCTCATTCTCTCTTGCCAGCCATGGTTCCTCTCCATACAATCATTCTTGCCTCTCAAATCTTTCTTCTCACTCACCACCCTTAACTCATACTCTGCTTCTTCACTTGATGGACTGCAGTGGGTTCATAAGCTCACCTACAATCTTTGTACCCAAATCAGCCAGTCCTCCCTCTTGTGAACTTGTCCTAAGTTTTTTCACTCATCCACTTGTTCCTCACAGACTTTCCCCAACTCATCCTGTCTTCCCTGAATGTAGCCCTCCTCCTCACTTAGTTACATCTCCCAGAGTTTCCCCAACTCATCCTGTCTTTCCTGAATGTAGACCTCCTCCTCATCCCCATAGTTACATCTCCCTGCAGTTTCCCCAACTCATGCCCATACAGACCCATCTCCCCCATACAGACCATCTCCTCTGCTGTACCTCCCAGAGTTTCCCCAACTCATCCCCATACAGCCCATCTCCTCTGCTGCACCTCCCAGAGTTTCCCCAACTCATCCCCATACAGCCCATCTCCTCTCCTGTACCTCCCAGAGTTTCCCCAACTCATGCCCATACAGCCCATCTCCTCTCTCTGCACCTCTCCAGAGTTTCCCCAACTCATCCCCATACAGCCCATCTCTCTCCCTGTACTCCTCCTCCAGAGTTTCCCTCAACTCATCCCCATACAGCCCATCTCCTCTCCTGCACTCTCTCAGTTTTCCCCAACTCATCCCCATACAGCTCCATCTCCTCTCCTGCACCTCTCAGTTTCCCCAACTCATCCCCATACAGCCCATCTCCTCTCCTGTAACTCCTCCCCTAGAGATTCCCCCTCCCCAGAGTCCCCCAACTCCATCCCCATACAGTCCTGTACCTCTCCCCAGAGTTTCCCCAACTCATCCCCATACAGCCCATCTCCTCTCCTGCACCTCTCCTCTCTAGTCTCAGTTTCCCCAACTCATCCCCATACAGCTCATTTCCTCTCCTGCACCTCCCAGAGTTTCCCCAACTCATCCCCATCTCCTTTCCTGTACATCTCAGAGTTTCCCCAACTCATCCCCATACAGCCCATCTCCTCTGCTGCACCTCCCAGAGTTTCCCCAACTCATCCCCATACAGCCCATCTCCTCTCTTGTACCTCTCAGTTTCCCCAACACATTTCGTCAATATCAAGCTCACCTCTTCTCCTCTTCCTCCAAGAGAAGCTTCAGAGACTCTATCTCAGCCTTGAGTGGGACGTTTGCCTCCCGTATGGACGATGCCTCCTTTATCTTGGTGAAGAGCACCTCCTGTACCTCACGAAGCTTCTTCTCCAGGGTGCGGATGTTGTCTGACGAGCGGCTACGTTCCACTGCCAGCATATCCTCCAGGGACTTCCTCTGATGTTCAATGTTCGACAGCTGGATGAAAACAATATCACAATACTGATAACCTGTGTGAAAGATTATATTTTACCACCTGAGAATTAAATATATATTCTTTGGCTAAATGTTGAAGGATAATAAGTATATTGTGTATTTCTAAATATGAAAAATAAAAAGGATTAAATAAATGTACACATTTAGTATATTTTTTATTGAAATGTATAGCTTATGATATTTAGATCTGCTATTGTTTGTTGGAAGTATAGTCAGGCTCTCCAACAAAAGTATTCTGAACTGTGTGAGAGTCCTGATAATGGTTATGGATTACCTCCCTTGTTTAATCACCACTTACTCGGTTCTACTGCCCTGACACTTGGTGCGTGCGATTTACACTTCTCGAAGTGGAAGTGGACACTTCCGGATGTTCGAATTGCACACTTCTCTTCTCGGAAGTACTTCCCGCTCTTCTCATTCACGAGCAGAAGAGCGAGGACACAGTGAGCAGAAGAGCTCGGTCTTCGGCTGTTCGATATAAAACCCAGAAGACCCCTCTTCCGGAACAAGTTTCTCTTTCGAGAAGACGTATAATCGCACGCGCCTACTGTGGCTGCTGATGGTCGTGATGAGGTAATGGGTGAGTGAGAAAAATAAATGTTGTTAGCACAACTCCCGCTATATCACATTGGCTTTCAGATAATTTAGTCTGGCCGACAGACAAGCATGATCCATTCTCTCACTAAACATGATGACAACAACCAGCCATGTTTTGTTTTCTCTGATCACCCATTCCTCAGATATTGTGCCACGTGGAACAAACTCATGTCTTCCTGTATAAACAAGTGTGTGTTGAGTTAACTGACCTGTCCCTCCAGTGACCTGACCTTGGCCTTCATTTCACCAGCTGACCCCTCTAACTGGGTCTTTTCTGTCTGAAGACGCTCGATCGTAGTGGCATCATTGTCCAACTGAACCCTTAGAGCCGCAATCTGCACATATAGATACAACTTTAGTTTCATTATGGTTGCAATCTGGGAATGATCCTGTGGAAATCATAATGGTGTTTGATTCACTGTAAACTGTGTACAAAGAAGCAGCGTAGGGGCTTCCTCAGGGTTGACCTTTCTAAATAGAGACAACATTTTCTAATGTGGAATTTCACAATGGTTCAACTCCTGAATATTTAGGAAAGTTTAGTCTAATGATCGAAGAGATAAGTAAATGTTTTTCAAGCAATACTGTGAAAGTCACTTTGACAAACATTGTATTTCAAATTGTATAATGTATGCAACAAATGAAATGATTTCCAACACAGGGCCTTTTGTTAAAACTACCTTTCCCAATTTGGAATTTAAATACTGAAATTATTCTGAATAATTTAGCATTTAAAAAACACAAAACAGGGACAGACAAGACACTTCGTTATGCCACCTTGTTTCCAGAGTCCAGATGTCATAGCAAGAAAACTCACATTTCTGTTATATTCTGCATCCGACTCCATCTGGTATTTCTTGAACTCGGCTTCAGAGGCTTCTCGTACAGTCTTCAGCAGATCGCCCATGGACGTATCACTCTTACTCAGCTCCCGGACCTTGGCCTCCAGGCTGAGAATAGTTCCTGTTGATGATTCCACTCGGTTCCGGAGTTCAATGACCTGCTGTGTGTTGACCTGGTCATTAAACTCCAGTTTCTTCATCAGCTGTTGTACCCGGTCCTCTGCCTCTTGGCGAGCCACCTGCTCCACCTCGTACCTGCATATATATGTTCGTCATGAATGGGAACATTCATTGTTGATTGGCCACATCACAATATATTGAGACACGATACCTGGAGCCTTACATTTCACCAATATATCAATGTATAAATCAACACCTTACACATCTAAATAGGATAGGCATACCCATGAATTAATCTTTTCTGATAGGGACATTGGGGTAGCCTAGTGGTTAAAGCGTTTGCTCATCACGCCGAAGACCCGGGTTCGATTCCCCACATGGGTACAATGTGTGAAGCCCATTTCTGGTGTCCTCCGCCGTGGTATTGTTGGAATATTCCTAAAAGCGGCGTAAAACTAAACTCACTTACTCTTTTTTATAATATAGTTTGATTGGCCTCAAATTCACTACCTTCCATATAGAGCCATGTTTATTCCGTTGCTTTTTTCATTTCCCCGTTTCCTAAAAGTTTCCTTACTATTCAGATAAACATTGTATTTTGATGTTAACCTGCCTCATTATAGCGAGAGTAAACACTGTCGTCGGAAAATGTTTGTAAGAAAACATATGATTGAATATTACAGTGAGGACCAGAGAACAGATTTTCAAATACTGTCATAAACAAAATAGTTTTGCTGTTTGGGTTCTGATGTTAAGCATCTTTTCATAAACTAATCAAACCATAACTCACCGATGTTTGAGAGTCTCATTCTCTCGAGTGAGGCCCTCAACATTACGTTGGAGCAGATCTGTGTTATCAGGACCTTTTATGGTTGCAGCCATCTTTGCAGAGTGAAGTTGAGCCTCAAGGCCAGCGACTTCTCTCCGAAACAGGGTCATCTCTTCCGTGAGCTTCCGACTCCTGTCACTCTCCACACTTAGTCTGGGGAGACATTTCACACCTTCATCATTCATCTAAATAAGGGGCAGGACGGTTGCAAGTGATTGGAAACATCCTCATCTTCTACATCTCTGAGTGAGTACTTAGAATTTTACATAAATTCTTTAGCAATACAGGGTCATATTATTGTGGTTATTCATCTCCAGTCGGACAAAAACGCCTATGATGCTGTAATTTTGCATTAAGTCAATGTTAAGGTATGAGAGTTATCTTCACCTTAGCGCTAAGATCACTTTGTACAATGGCACCCAGGGCCAATCATTATGAAAATAATCATAGTCTTTTGTTTTATTGATAGATTTTTTCTTAGGCCAGATTTTGTTGGAAGGTTATATTTTGGAGTTGAAATGGTTTTAAATATTTTTTTAAGTTGGATAGGTATGTGATTTTAAAAACTCTTGGTCTGCTGGAATCCACCATCCACCATCCACCAAATAATTTGCCTTGTAATGACCATTTTTCACTGGAAAATTTTCTGCTTGAAGCAAATAAATCCCCTCAATTTTTTTTTCCAAAACAACCTTTACCATTGGTGGGATGAAAAATACTCGTCCTGATTTTTAAGGGTTGCAAATCTGTAAACCAAGCCAAAATCACTTATGGCCTTATGTTATTTTCTCTGGTATACCCTTTCATTATGACCTAAGTTGTTTCTGTTAAAAATATCCAGAAATTGTCAGTTGTAGATAATTATTTCTATGCTTCAATTTTACTATCCCAAATATATACATCCATCCAGAAGGCAATACATTCTTTGGAACTCGACAGGTATCAACCTACATTGCACTATCCCTTTCTAAATGTTGCTAGCCACAGGCTGCCAGGCCACCACTGTGTACCCACCTGTCCTGTATTTCAGCTGCAGCCTGCTGATGCTTGTTGCTCTGTATCTGCAACGTGTTCTTCTCTCGACTCGTCACTTCAATATCTTTCCTGAAGAGAAATAGACAAAAAGTGAATATCTGATGATGAATGTGAGGGGTTTAGTGTGCTGCACATTACCAAAGCCATACAGTAGACAAGAGACATGGATGGACATGAAGATATCTGGAAAACAAATGTGTTTGTTTGATAGTACAACAAGAATCCAGTCTGAGTGAGTGAGTATTGTTTTACGCTGCTTTTAGAAATATTCCAGCAATATCATGATGGGGGACACCAAAAATGGGCTTCACACATTGTATGCATGTGGGGAATTGAACCCGGGTTTTCGGTGTGACAAGCCAACGCTTTAACTACTAGGCTACCCCACCTCCCCATTCCAGCCTGGACCAGACAACAGCGAGTCTGATATTGTGATCAGTCCATCACAATACGTATAATCATCCATTATGACCCGGGGATTTGAATCTTGACACATTGATCCATGATCTAAAGACCGCTCTTGTCGCTTGAATGTTATACTCAATGCATCAGTGTGCAATCAAGTTATATTCTCAGCTCCATGAGGAGTATGAAAACTAGTTGCCTATAACAAATATATGTAATACTGCTGTCTAAGGTGTAACAGGGAGGTGGGGATAGCCTAGTGGTTAAACCGTTCGCTCATCATGATGAAGGACCGGGTTTGATTCCCCACATGGGTACAATGTGTGAAGCCATATTTGGTGTCTCCTGCCATGATATTGCTGGGGTATTGCTTAAAGCGGCGTAAAACAATACTCACTCACTCAGACTGGACTATTTACAGGCTATTCACTCACTCACGCTCACTATAACGTAACCCACGTAATGATCACTATATAGGTTACGATTCAACACCAACACAACCTGACACATTATAGGTAGCTCTTTTCTGTATGATGCACAGTTTCTTTATCTTTTATAACCAGTCACATTATTCAAATAAATGTTAGTGAATTTGTGTGAACTGATGACAAGACACAATAACTAACCAATATTTACAGCAACCATGATCTAATTACTGCTGTTAATACTTTGAAATTAACTTTGTTTGTCAGAGAATGGATAAATGTATAAAAAATGCAGTAGACAGTCATTTTTGTTGGAATTTGACTATTGTATGTCAAGAAATTATTTAGCGTTTGAAATAGACTGACTGACTGACTGAGTTTTGGTTTTACGCTGCTTTTAGCAATTTTCCAGCAACATCACGGCGGGGGACACCAGAAATGGGCTTCACACATTGTACCCATGTGGGGATTCGAACCCGGGTCTTCGGCGTGACGAGCCAACGCTTTAACCACTAGGCTCCCCCACCGCCCCGTTTGAAATAGAAGGACTATGGGAACCTTTAGGGTCCTGATCCACAAAATGTTCATAGAGTTACGACCTATCGTAGATTTATGACCTATCGTAACTCTTTACTTTACCATGGGCTTACGAATGTTGTAGTGGATAGGGTCCCTGGACTTTATACTATTGTCTTTAGTTATATTTAGTAATGAGGGAATGAGGAGTCTACAGTATCATGAGTGGTGCATCGTTTAATGATCCCCTTGCAATCTGAATGACGTCCTTTCTTCTCCAAAGTGGCTATATCTAAAGCAGTGTTGAGAGCCACGCTATCAGTATATTGTTCTTCAGCTTTTTATTTCCTTCATGTCACAGTCAGGTCAAGTACCAAGTACATCATAAACCTGGCTTATGTAAACTACATAAGTGTATAAGTGCATTCACTGAGCAGATATTTATGAGAATATAATCATCTACAGTAATCTAAGTTTATAACCATAAATTGATGGACATGATGAACTCGGATTTTCTTGTCCCTGCCATTTACTGTTATGCTGTAAACATATATCGCTGAAAAGCATAAAACTAACTACTGACATAACGAACTAAAATTAGACAATAAACTAACAAAACTAGTGACAAAGTGCACCATGAGGTTTTTGGTTCGAACTGGTGTGCTGAAACCGATGCTGGGGGGCGGTGGGGTAGCCTGCTGTTAAAGCGTTTGCTCATCACACCGACGGCCGGGTTCGATTCCCCACATGGGCACAATGTGTGAAGCCCATTTCTGGTGTCCCCAGCTGTGATATTGCTGGAATATTGCTAAAAGTGGCGTAAATCCACACTCACTCACTCACCTATGCTGGTCATAACGGGTGACTTAATTGATAGACTCATTATTGACACTCTGCCATCACCTTGGTGAAATATTGTTGTGTACATGATTAAACAATAAACAAACATATCAAGTGATGTTCAAGACACTTACCTAAGTTTATCAAGCTCTTGTTCATAAATGTTCTTCAAGTTGTTTATTTCCTCTTCTAATATTTTGGCAGATTTGAGGAATGCAGAAGTGTCTATTTGGTTGCCTTGGTCGCTAACCATTCGTACACGATTCACGTAGGACGTGAGTCGGTCATTGAGTCTTTGGAGCTCCTCCTTCTCCGACAGTCGAGACACGTTGCCCTGCGACATGCTCATGTCTCCGCCTACAAAGTACATTCTGGGAACTTGTGACAAAGATGAAGCTGAGCACGCTCTCTTTTCTCTTAACAAAAGCGGTTGTCTGAATGGAACTAAAGTCCTGTTGTGTTCATTGCTAGCAACATGAAGTGGCTTATATGTTTTGGGGGGAGTCACACGAGGTTGATTCTGTGGAATCGGGCCGCGTATTGTAAATATTTTTTGCTCGAGGGCTACGAGGTGTTTGTTGTATACCCTGTTCACTTAGATAGTTTCTACAACAGATAAATGTTTTTCCTCTTTCAGGAGGGTTTTTGCCTTTGTTTCCTGGTGGCGCTGTATGACCGTTCTCAATTTGGTCAACCTCTAACAGTTGTTCCAAAAATGGTGAACTTGGTTTTTCGCTTTCAGTTTCAGATTGACTACACTCTTGGTCTTTGGTCTCTACATGAGTTGTCTCCTCTTGGCAGGATATTTTGTGGGTAGTCTCCCCTGGGTCAGTTTGTTGATCAACCTGCTTCTCCCCTTCTCTCACTCCATCAGTGAATCTGAAAATAGCAATTTCATTTTGTTTCAATACTCATGAGCTTTCATTAAACACTTCTTCAATCGCTGGATCCAAACCCGTGTTAAGCTGATGCATAATCCGACAGAACTGATCTTGTCATATGAAGATGAGGTGAGATGAAAACAGTTTAAACATCACATTTAATATTGTTTTACACAAATAGAGATGTGCATTTACCTTAGTGATGTAACAGTACAGAAATACAGTACTGTAACACAATATGAGGCCAAGGAGGTGAGGTGAGGTAAAATTTGGTTTCACGTCGTGCTTGAGAATATTTCGCTCATTTGACGATGTGCATGCGTGTGTATGTGTATGTGTATGTGCGGCTGCTTGTACTAGCCCAGACTGAAGCTGGTTTTATAGTGTTAGCCCACTGAGATACCATGCTGCAGTGAAGCATGAATACCCCACTCAGACACATTATACTGACTCCAAGCCGACCAGTCCTTGTTGTACCCATTAATGCCGAGCGCCAGGCAGGGACCAACAAGTACCATATTTTAACGTCTTTTGGATGTAACAGTACAGAAATACAGTACCGTAACACAATACGAGGCTAAAGATACAATACATTGATTACAACTCCTGTATCGCAATACATGCAATACATTACAAGTTATATTGATATAAAAATGTGAATAACAAAAGAAAGTGTTTCGGAACCAGTTTATGAACATCTAGGATTTCCTGATCAGCTATAAATAGTACCCCTTGGCTGACTTCAATGTTAAACAAGAAACCAAAAAAACAAAACATAAATACACAAGATTTTCATCACGAATATAGAAAAATCCAGCAGGTTTTCTTAATTTTTTCTGTGAAAGGAGAAGCTTATGCATTTTAGTTACAGACAGATTATTGTTTTGATGCCTTCTACAGAACATTATTCTCTGAAAGAAGCTTAACAATTTGAATTTTTATTCACAATATATGTTTCTTCAGGAAATCATCATGTCCATCAAATAATGTGTTTCTTGGGCACAAAACCCAATGCGAATTTTTTAATCAAATTCTATGTCAATTTAAGTTCATTTGCCTCTTGTTTTCGAATAAAATCATATGGCCTCATTCAGTGTACCGGCATGTGGTTCAAAAAATTTAGATTCATAATGATACTCTTGAATGAAAATCAAACAAGTTTTATAATGGCAAGATGATGGATTAACCATAAGAGAATTGATGTTTTCTTTATTAGATAATGATTATCCATAATGTCGCATAAATAGCAGTGATAAAGCCTTGTTGGTTTCTTTTCATTTCAAGGAATTGTATAGCAATTATAAAAAAAAATGATCCAAAGTATTTTTTCCAATAACAGTAGCTAGTCAGTTTGATGAACCAACTAAAGCAAACTATAAGGCCTTAAAAATAACCAGTTCCACAGAAACTGTAATGTGAACCAAAACGTGAATGCTTCTTGAGTTGACTAAATAATACTGGTGTTTTGTCATGGTCTGAACAAGGGAAATTTCTTGTAAGATTTTGAGGAAGTCAGCCTAGGAAACATGTGTATACATGACAGGCACTCTTGACAACCATTTGTACTCTGAAACATATACAACCTGGTGAAAGTAATAGACCTGCCTTTGTTCTATGACTGTTTGTGATGTCAATATCCATCTTGTAGGACATAATTATTGCTCATTAGTGGTCTGGTAGACTTACAAATATATCTGACGGTTTCACATAATGTGGTCATTGAGCAGAACTTTCCTTGAGCAGTTTAAAAAACATAAAACTACAAAGTAAAAAAGGATATTGCATATTTACACTCTCAGTTCAGAAGAGACATTAACCTTGTTTAAACTGAGCTTGAAATCTTGACAACAATTGTCCTCGGTCATATTCCACAAAGTGATTGTAGCGCAACAGGACTCAACAGGTGAGTCTACGTTAAATTTGTGAGTTACAATCACATGATCCCTATGATAGCTTTGTTGACAGGCCTGTAACTTTTAGGGTTGTATATTGGAAAATAAAATAAATGGCCATATAAATGGATTGTGATACAGGGATCTGTATTACGATATAGATTGAGATCCACGGGGAGCTGAAGTGTGTTTGACAATGACTTATTGTACATTCAGATACTATTTTCAGTATACATAAGTAAATAATGCAGAGCACAGTCAGTGAAGACCACTTCATCGTCATGGATACAGGGGAGACAACAAATTAAGAAAAAATTGAAAAACTTTCCTCATTTCTGCGGGATCTGGTTTAAAGGGAAACATTGTGTCTATCAGTTTTGAAGGGAAACATCATGTCAATCAGTATGGATTGGAAACATCATGTCAATCAGTATGGATTGGAAACATCATGTCTATCAGTTTTGAAGGGAAACATCATGTGAATCAGTTTTGAAGGGAAACATCATGTCTATCAGTTTTGAAGGGAAACATCATGTCAATCAGTTTTGAAGGGAAACATCATGTCAATCAGTTTTGAAGGGAAACATCATGTCAATCAGTTTTGAAGGGAAACATCATGTCAATCAGTTTTGAAGGGAAACATCATGTCTAATCAGTTTTGAAGGGAAACATCATGTCAATCAGTTTTGAAGGGAAACATCATGTGAATCAATCAGTTTTGAAGGGAAACATCATGTCAATCAGTTTTGAAGGGAAACATCATGTCTATCAGTTTTGAAGGGAAACATCATGTCAATCAGTTTTGAAGGGAAATCATGTCATGAAGGGAAACATCATGTCAATCAGTTTTGAAGGGAAATCATGTCATCAGTTTTGAAGGGAAACATCATGTCAGTTTTGAAGGAAACATCATGTCAATCAGTTTGAAGGGAAACATCATGTCAATCAGTTTTGAAGGGAAACATCATGTCAATCAGTTTTGAAGGGAAACATCATGTCAATCAGTTTTGAAGGGAAACATCATGTCTATCAGTTTTGAAGGGAAACATCATGTCAATCAGTTTTGAAGGGAAACATCATGTCAATCAGTTTTTTTGAAGGGAAACATCATGTCAATCAGTTTTGAAGGTCTATCAGTTTTGAAACATCATGTCAATCAGTTTTGAAGGGAAACATCATGTCAATCAGTTTTGAAGGGAAACATCATGTCAATCAGTTTTGAAGGGAACATCATGTCAATCAGTTTTGAAGGAAACATCATGTCTAATCAGTTTTGAAGGGAAACATCATGTCAATCAGTTTTGAAGGGAAACATCATGTCAATCAGTTTTGAAGGGAAACATCATGTCAATCAGTTTTGAAGGGAAACATCATGTCAATCAGTTTTGAAGGGAAACATCATGTCTATCAGTTTTGAAGGGAAACATCATGTCAATCAGTTTTGAAGGGAAACATCATGTCAATCAGTTTTGAAGGGAAACATCATGTCAATCAGTTTTGAAGGGAAACATCATGTCAATCAGTTTTGAAGGAAACATCATGTCAATCAGTTTTGAAGGGAAACATCATGTCAATCAGTTTTGAAGGGAAACATCATGTCAATCAGTTTTGAAGGGAAACATCATGTCAATCAGTTTTGAAGGGAAACATCATGTCATCAGTTTTGAAGGAAACATTTTGAAGGAAACATCATGTGTCAATCAGTTTTGAAGGGAAACATCATGTCAATCAGTTTTGAAGGGAAACATCATGTCAATCAGTTTTGAAGGGAAACATCATGTCTATCAGTTTTGAAGGGAAACATCATGTCAATCAGTTTTCTAAGGGAAGGGAAACATCATGTCAATCAGTTTTGAAGGGAAACATCATGTCAATCAGTTTTGAAGGGAAACATCATGTCAATCAGTTTTGAAGGGAAACATCATGTCAATCAGTTTTGAAGGGAAACATCATGTCAATCAGTTTTGAAGGGAAACATCATGTCAATCAGTTTTGAAGGAAACATCATGTCAATCAGTTTTGAAGGGAAACATCATGTCAATCAGTTTTGAAGGGAAACATCATGTCAATCAGTTTTGAAGGAAACATCATGTCAATCAGTTTTGAAGGAAACATCATGTCAATCAGTTTTGAAGGGAAACATCATGTCAATCAGTTTTGAAGGGAAACATCATGTCAATCAGTTTTGAAGGAAACATCATGTCAATTTTGAAGGGAATCAGTTTTGAGTTTTCAGTTTTGAAGGAAACATCATGTCAATCAGTTTTGAAGGGAAACATCATGTCAATCAGTTTTGAAGGAAACATCATGTCTATCAGTTTTGAAGGGAAACATCATGTCAATCAGTTTTGAAGGGAAACATCATGTCAATCAGTTTTGAAGGGAAACATCATGTCAATCAGTTTTGAAGGGAAACATCATGTCAATCAGTTTTGAAGGAAACATCATGTCAATCAGTTTTGAAGGGAAACATCATGTCAATCAGTTTTGAAGGGAAACATCATGTCAATCAGTTTTGAAGGGAAACATCATGTCTATCAGTTTTGAAGGGAAACATCATGTCAATCAGTTTTGAAGGGAAACATCATGTCAATCAGTTTTGAAGGGAAACATCATGTCAATCAGTTTTGAAGGGAAACATCATGTCAATCAGTTTTGAAGGGAAACATCATGTCAATCAGTTTTGAAGGGAAACATCATGTCAATCAGTTTTGAAGGGAAACATCATGTCAATCAGTTTTGAAGGGAAACATCATGTCAATCAGTTTTGAAGGAAAATATCATGTCCATCAGTTTGGACTTACTGAGTTTGGTTTTACGCCGCTTTTAGCAATATTCCAGCAACATCACGGCGGGGAACACCAGAAATGGGCTTCACACATTGTACCCATGTTGGGATTCGAACCCGGGTCTTCGGCGTGACAAGCCAACGCTTTAACCACTAGGCTACCCCACCGCCCCCCATCAGTTTGGATGGTAAACATCATGTGAATCAGTTTTGAAGGGAAACATCATGTCAATCAGTTTTGAAGGGAAACATCATGTCAATCAGTTTTGAAGGGAAACATCATGTCTATAATTTTTGAAGGGAAACATCATGTCTATCAGTTTTGAAGGGAAACATCATGTCTATCAGTTTGGATGGGAAACATTATTGTAAACAAATTTCTGTGTAGATTTTGGACTAAACAAAATACAAAACAAATATTGCAATATGTATCAATTGAAAAATCTATTTTAGGTTTGAACAGTTGATTACTAAGATGTCTCAGGCATGAGATGTTTGTTTGTTTGTATTTTGTTTAACGCCACACTTAGTAATATTCCATCTGTGACATGTGATTGGCTGAAAAATGTTGTTAAATGGCCCCAGATCCAGGAAACTTGACTTTTTACTGCATGATGAACATGTTTCTTGGTTATCTTTATCTCAATCCCAAACATGCGAAATAGATACAACATTAATGATGTATTACGTATGACAAATTCAGTTGTTTTCTTTAACCAAGCATGTTATTGCAGAAGCATATTGTATTATGACTACACAACACTCCAGAGTGACGTCACAACTGTGGTAATTCATGCAGATGAGAGAATGCTTCAGATGATGATTGGTAACTTGTATATTTTACAAATTTGCAGATATTGTTAAGTAATCAGTGATAGGATATTATCACATTTGAAACTCCTGGACGTATATTTTGTGTACATGTACAAGAATATTAAACTGATAGAGCAACATGGCTGCTTGAACTAGCTTCAGACAGAAAGCTCCATTCACTAGACCTACATGACAGGGCCCTACAACAAAACATTTATTAATTAAACTAAATTTGTTATATGGTCTCTGGCATCTGAGCGAGTGAATGCTTCAGAAGGAAACTGCCAGCTAAAGAAGGTAGCAATAAATAGCAGACCGAACATGATTCCTATGGGTTTAGTCTGCAGAGTTGGCTTTCAGTCATATTCTTAAGTTGAGAGCCCTTGCTGGATAAACTGGCACATTTACAATTTGTTGTCAGGATCAACAATGATTAGTGAACTTATGTTGGAATTTGGAGAGAATATTAAAAAATGTAATACAATATTTTAGATGATTAACCAGTGAAATGATTGGAGGAGTGAGTGAGTGAGTGAGAGGAGTGAGTGAGTGAGTGAGTGAGTGAGTGAGTGAGTGAGTGAGTGAGTGAGTGAGTGAGTGAGTGAGTGAGCGAGGGAGCGAGCGAATGAACGTCTACCAATCATAATATTTAGGAAACAGCAACACCAGAAATATCCTGCACAAATGTACCCATGTAGGGAAATGAACATGGTGTTCAGCGTTATGAGTCAACACTTTACCCACTAGGCTAACTTACTGCCAACATATTATCAAAAGAACACAAAATGCAAAAATTGGCACCCAACAGAGGAATTTGGTGCAGTCTGACACTAAAAGGTCATACACCCCATTCTGATGAGGAACACTTGAGGACTCTGTATCTCTCCATATCATATGAATCTCAATGTCAAGCATGGGGTATGTATACTGGTATAAATTTGCTGTCGAGATGAAATATGGCTAACTTTGTGGCTTTATGGCTCAAGAGATTTTCTACCATTTATTGCAACATAAGCACATGGGTTGAAGATTTATTAAACTACAAGTTATATCTTGACAGAGGAATTTAATAAAGGCCATGGATTAAATTTGACTTTAGAATTGGTCGTGTAGTCTGTGTTTGTGTAGTTGGTTTTAAATGATATGTTGAGTCACTATCAAACATGTTAAAGGCACAATGTCACACCACACTTCTCTAAAAACATATACTCTCAATAATACTAACTATCAGCCATGGAAGCTACCATATAATCTATTCCCCACAAAATTACATAATTAGATTACAATATCAAATTAAAAAGTTCGAATGAATTAATGCAACATTGCATTAAATCAACTCTCGCGCTCTCTACCGCCCGGACATTGTTTCAAGCAAACCCCATAGAGTTATGTCCCTTGGAGCTCTTTACGAATATCCTATGCACAACTTGTGATTGAAACCAGTTCGGCAAACACCGACAACACCACTGCAACAGTTTTCGATGTACGGAGCAATCGTTTACATTCCATATATGGTAAATATTATCTGTTTGGAAGCTGTTCGCCCCGAAGTTCCAATTATAGATTTCAGGCAAGTCGTAAGGGATAATAAGTCTTTTATTGCATAAATAGGAAACTAAAGTGAGTGCATATGCCCTCAGTATATAAAATATAGGTCAAAATATTGTCGAAAATATGTGACATTGTGCCTTTAAGTAATTGCTACAATTCATAAGCCATATATGACTGACAGGAAACAACTTTATCTTGTTCTTCTTACTGAAAATATTGTTACATATGTTTTAAAAAAATAGTTTTCTGGGACTGATAGAAACTTAGTGGTGGTCTGCTGTGTAAACAATATTCCGATGTTGATATCTGTGTTTTTGGACCAGACAAACCAGTGACTGTAAGGAGGGCAAAAATACAAAATATTCTTGTACTATGATATCAATCAGCCATATCATAAAAGTCTCCCAAATTCTCTACAATTTTGCTTTTAGATAAAGATGGGCTACGGAGGACACAAGCGTGGTCAAAAACAGTTGCTGAAGATATTCTTAATTTAGATTGAACAAGAAATGTATGCCAGCCCTTTACCGCAGGAATACATGTGTCAGTTAAAAATACATTCCCTCTACCATTTCACATACCGAAGAAAAAAATTGTTAGTAATTCCTGTTAATTACAGGAAGTGTATCCACCACAGCTATTTGTCTTATAGTTAACATATTCAAATTGTACTTTTTAGATACATTGTTTCACAATACTAGCATGGACCCTGTGTGAATCCTGAGTTTGATCCCCATCAACCTATGTCTGTCACCACAGGAGACTGAACACTTGGGGCTGTTAAACTCAGTTTCTTGACTCATGTCACTGTCTCCCAATGGAATGGGACCTTTCTCTACTGGCCAGCATCACATAGCTGTAATATTACTGACTCAGGTATTGGGATAGAGAACTTTGACAATGGGCCATTTTCAGGATTATTAGCAATTTTCTGAATTTAGAATGGTCCACTGCCCTTGTATCAATAGTAAACTTCAAAATTTTAATGGGCCATCTTTTATTCTAATGTGCAAAATGGCCCATGGCCCCTGCCTTTCCCAGTCCCTGCTGACTACTGTTTTAAACAGCAGTACTGGAATGTTACACCAGGTATGGTGAGATCAAGCCTCAAACAGGCAAACCAGTGGTTAATAGCATGAAAACAATTTAAAAAATCAACCAGTTTGGGGATTCAATACACTGCTGTATAGGCACACGACCATATTATTATTGGCTACTTATTGGATATTTATACAGCGCAAATATCCATGCACTAGTGCATGCTCAAGGCGCTGGTATTTTTTCCTTTGATCATTGGATGTCAATCTCAGTGGCACATCTTATTATCAGTCTCAGCTCCCTGTATATCATTAAGGGATAATGGAAACATCACAGAATATTCCTGCTCATATAAACTACATTGGAATTCATTATCAGTGCCAGCTCCTCAGAACCAGACACATATTTGATCCAAGTCCCTTTCTATTAAGTCTTCTCTCAGTCCAGTGATTACTGGAAATCCAAACTATTGTAGAGGGCTTGTAGACAATTGTAAGAGCTGTGTACCCAACATTTAGGATCTCTTAAAGCATGGAGCTACCTTACCCCTATCATTACATGGGTCCACATCAGGACAATAGAGCATGGTTCTACAATAGGTTCTGATTCACTGCATGGTTCTTCCTTAGTTACAAGAGGTCGCCATGGTTACCAGGGACTGGTTCACACAGCCTGGTCTGAGTTCCATGCCTTTCCAATGGAGAACACGTACACAGGTTAGTCAATACCAGTAGTCTAATAATATCAAGTCTGTCTTACGGACCCTAAAACACAATCCAATACAGCCCATTCAGATCTTCAATACTTGGTGAGTATACATTACCAGGGACGGCAACAGGAAAATCTATTTTCAGCTGAAAACTTAATATTGTGTCATCAAGTTGACGGTTTCTCAATGGATTTAGACGATTCACAATTGAACAATTTGAAATAAAATCAGCGGAAATCTGCGGATCAGTGAAAAATTGCCATCCCTGCATTACTGTAGATTCTGAAGTGAGTGAGTGAGTTGGGTTTAATGTCACTTTGAACAGTACAGAGAATCTCTGGGTTCCATGTATACTCCTAAAAAAAAGTAGGGGAACCTGAACTTTCAATTTGAATAGGAAGCATAAGCCTTAACAAACTTTTCAAAAACAGACATCACGAACCCTGGATTCAAACCCACAATATCTGGTAAACCAAATAGGCCACCATACCCTCAGTTGCCAAGACAGAGATCAACTAAGTGGGGCCAACCACTGCTGGCCTCAGTGGAGTGTAAGGTGAAGCACTTGTCAGCAATCCCACACCATGAATGGGTAACTCTTGATCTATTTTACAACCTCCTTAGGAACTGGAAATCATAAAAAGACAACAGAAAAATGTAAAAGAAACTTGATTTCAAAAGAAAAAGCACAAAACAATGCAGCATTGCCTAAGAATATGATTACCATGTTTAAAGAGTGGGTCTCGTGCTATATATACAATGTGCATGTTGTTAATGGATTTTCAGTCATTTTCTGCAGTAGCATTCTCAAATTCAACATTTTTGTTTTTGTGGTATATCCGAAGCTTACTGAATGGTTAATATTATAAAAATGTCATTGCATATGATAAATGATTTTATTTACCTTTGATATTGAATTCTACTAAACTTGACCATGTTTGTGGTATTAAATATTGATAGTATTTACTTCTCATTAAATGTCAAAGGATTGACACCAATAGTCAACAAAGATTGATAATCAACACACCAACAGATCAAAATCTAATTAAACTTGTAAAACTTCAAACTACATATCCAATATATGGAAAACCCAAACCACAAAATGTTGAATAACAAAACACATCTTCAGAAGCTGAACCTGCAGATAAGCCAAAGTACCATTACCTGACCACTTTCTTCTGTTTTGTCTGAGGAATCGTCATGGTAACCAAGCACTATGGCGTCAACATCAATATCCACTACTGAATTATCTCACAACTGAAACACACATTCTCCATCCAGAACTATTGCATGATGGATATTGCCTTCCTGTTGCCATTTGTTATAATCCACTAGCAGCGCCATCTAGCATGATGTTGAAGTCACGTTATCTGACGATGTTGTCAATGTGGTACATGACGATGCAGACATCAAGGGAGTTTATCGATATACCAGTTAGTTTTATGACTTAATCATTTCAAGTACAGTGTCACATTTCATGGTTGTGAATTTCAACACTGTATCTGTTTTCATGTGTCCATGGTTACAAGACAAGTTGACGTTTAAACAAATAACAGCGTCAGACATTTGACTGAAATCCAAGGACATGGTGACTGTTAGACGACAGTTGGCATTTTGTGGAAAATATCACTGGCTTAGACGTAACTCAATAGAGTCAATAATGAGTTGACATTATCAGTTTGTGACTTGTAGCATTGAATGTTTGATCCCACAAACACATGTGTTCATGCATGTTGGCCATTGAAATGTAATTATTGAACATTTCCCTGCAAACCACATATCATATCACACATATCACGCGACTTTTATACGTGAATGTTTTTCTGCTTGACAATATAAATTTTCGTGAAAGAGACTCCACCATATAAGATTCACATGTCATTCCAGCAATAGAAGGCTTTGACAAATCTCCATCGTTGCTACTCATTCTTGTAAACATTACCACACACAATGTTCAGCCTATATCAAACCATGCATTACTCGGCTTTCACAGGACTTCAAACCTGATCCTGATTGGACGAACTACTTCAAGTTGAGCCGAGTACTTGTTCTGCTGTGTTTAAGAGTGTCGGGACACAGAAAGCCAGAACCGTGATGTGTTTGGTCCGTCAGTTGACACATTGACAGATGTGTTGGCAAAAGAGTCAACAAATGACCTTGGCAACCCCTTGACATAACTGACAGCAAACCTCCCACCCGAACATGGCCAATCTTATCAAATATCGTGCACGTATGGTCAGAGGTAGACATTCCAGCTAGTGCCGTATATGTACACAATAAACACAACAACTGAACGCTTGTTGCTTTGTTCACTAACATAAACAGTTTAATTTAATTCGGACTGAGCTTACTGGATCTCTAGGCACACAATCAGGGCTGAATTTCCAATGCTTGAATGAAGGCTATTGAAATTACCCCTGACTGTGGGAGTCGACAAAGGTATTATTTGAAATATATACAATTACAGTAACCGATAATGTCGGTCTCCAGTGTATAATGTAATTTAATATTTTAGATCGCAAAAACATGCTCCATTGTAATGTTATTTGATTTTGCAATTGGAATATGTAGTTGTGTGAGTGGAATGACTGGTTGAGTGAGTGGTTGTGTGAGTGGTGGTATGGTTGAGTGAGTGAGTGGTTGTGTGTGTAGTAGGATGGTTGAGTGAGAGGGTGAGTGAGTGGTTGTGTGTGTAGTAGGATGGTTGAGTGAGAGGGTGAGTGATTGGTTGTATGAGTGGTGGGATGGTTGAGTGAGAGGGTGAGTGAGTGGTTGTGTGAGTAGTAGGATGATTGAGTGAGAGGGTGAGTGAGTGGTTGTTTGAGTGGTGGGATGGTTGAGTGAGAGGGTGAGTGAGTTGTGTGTGTAGTAGGATGGTTGAGTGAGAGGGTGAGTGAGTGGTTGTGTGAGTAGTAGGATGGTTGAGTGAGAGGGTGAGTGAGTGGTTGTGTGAGTAGTAGGACTGTTGAGTGAGAGGGTGAGTGATTAGTTGGATGGGTAAGTGAGGTATTGAGTTGTTAAATGGTTGTGAGTGGTTGAGTGATTAGTAGGATGGCTGAGCAAGGTGTTGAGTGGTTGAATGGGTGAGTGACGTAGTGAGTGGTGTCCTCCCATTTGTGAGAACTCCCAGTTGTGAGACACATTAATTAATGGTTCAGTGCACATAGGTGGTGTTTCCACATCCCTACAATGAAAGTGGGATCAGCCCAGCCCAGTACCCACAGGAGGCATAGTTCATTGATGAGTTGACTAATGAAATAGATTATCAAAGATTATATTTACACAGAAGAAATAGTTCATTGAATATTTTATTTATTCAGAAGAATATGTAATTATGATAACACCTTTTTATTGACTATTATGAAGTTTGAAAGTCATTTTGGTTTAAACATATTTTATTATTATTTATGAAAATTAATTGGGATTGGTGAAGTATTACTGCTTATGTTAACACCGCTCCCATGCAACATAAAATATAAAATGAAATGGAGGATGTGACGTCATCGTTATTGACTATTGCATAAATATATTTTTAAGTACATATAAATATATACAGATTACATCAAATACAACTATTCTCTAAGTAGTCATAATTAGAGACTTACAGTTGTGTGTGTCTAACAAGCCATTGTAGGAATATAATCAATCACGAGAAGGTTGTTGAGTTAATTTCAGCATTTCCCTGTGAAACTGTGAAGTCTGTGTCTTGATGATATAATCGTGGATGGATTCAACTATTTTCTGGTTTACATAAGGAGTAAATTCTTTGTTTCCGTTCAAAACCTTATCCAGGTTATAACTGGTAGTTGATATCCAGGTTATAACGGGTTGTTGACATCCAGGTTATAATGGGTAGTTGACATCCAGGTTATAACGGGTAGTTGATATCCAGGTTATAACGGGTAGTTGACATCCAGGTTATAACGGGTAGTTTACATCCACAAGAGCAACATGCACTGTCTATTAAATGTCTGTTATACTTATTGGCATTTGGGTCGCTACATCCGAGCCTGAGGCAGCGATGAACGATTTGACGAAAACAAGAGCCATAATTAAGATCAATATAAATCTTGTTTTCTGTTTTTGTAATTATGTTTTAAAATTCTTTGAGACTGCATGACTCTTTGGAATTTGGTAGGGCATTCCATAAATTTATTGTGTCGGGTAGAAAGGGTTTGGCACTAGTGGCATTTCGACTGTAAATTTCAGAGTTATTTCAGAGTTATTTCTTAAACTATAGCTTGTAGTTTCGAGACGGAGTAAATCTGAGTAGGTAAATTAATTTCTCTTTGATCACGAAGTTACCTCCACAAAGTGTTTAATTATTAAAGACATTTACCTGAATATGTTAATCAATTTATCTTATAAAGTTTTATTAAGTTACCTCCACAAGATTCAGTTACATAGCAAATCAGTAATTAGCTAGGGTGAATCCATTCTATCAGACAGGGGAGTATGGTGTGTTTTCGTTGTTAATTACCTACTCCACTGTCTCATAACTGGGAGTCTCACAAATGGGAGTTCTCACAAATGGGAGTAGACCTAGTGAGTGATTAGTGGAATGGTTGAGTGAGGTGTTGAGTGGTTGAATGGTTGTGTTGAGTTGTTGAGTGGTTGAGGTGATTGTTTGGTGAGTGGTTGATTGATTAGTGAGTGAGCGAGTGAGTGAGTGTTTAGTTTTAAGCTGCACTCAGCAATATTCCAGCTATATGGCGGCTGTCTGTAAATAATCAAGTCTGGACCAGACAATCCAGTGATCAACAGCATGAGCATCGATCTCCGTAACTGGGAACCAATGACATGTGTCAACCAAGTCAGCGAGCCTGACCACCCCATCCCGTTAGTCGCCTCTTAGGACAAGCACAGTCGCCTTTTGTGGCAAGCATGGGTTGCTGAAGACCTATTCTATCCCGGATCTTCACGGGTCTTGATTGATTAGTGGGATGGTTGAGTGAGGTATAGAGTGGTTTAATGGTTCTGTGAGAGGGTCAGTGAGTTTCTAAGTGAATGAGTGAATAATCCCATGTGACAAAACATAATGCTTCCCAACTCACACTTCTGACAAATATGGACAAAAATCTGACAAAGTGGACACAATCATAACGTCATAACCATAACGCTTAAGGTAAAAAATTTAGATGGAGCTTAGATTCAAATTCCATAAGAGAAAACCTGAAGGACACTGCCCTCTCCTAGATCCATAATTCCAACCATTTCAACATATATTTGTAATGGTTAAAACACATTTTATTTAATTTTGGGTGAATTAGGTCTCATGTTACTTCAATATACACTAGTTCAAGTTTACAGACTGAAAAAGAAAAGCTTATTAACATGTGCATTTTGTCATTTAGAAGAGCAAGAATTCATAAGACATAATGTTCAGTAAAAGTCCAGATCCCCCAGCAATGCTGCAGTAACTCACATCATATCCTTCATCACATATGGAAAGCCATTTCTCAAGTGGTTGTGTGTGGCACTGCAGAGAGCTCAGGTAGAAAATCAGTTGATATGAAGCAATGTTGGGTGCGGAGAGTCCTTGGATTGCCTTTATTCACCCAGCAGAATATGGGTACCCAGTGGGATAAGTTATGTGACTATTAACCTTCTAGTGCCTCACAGGCAGGTTGGGTTATCATAGGAAATGATAAAAGCGCTTCGAGATATTTATCCTGGACAGTCTGGCACTATAAAAATTAACTATGATTATTAAGCAAGCCTTCAACATTTAGAAGCATCAGTGAAATGTTTCAGGCCTGCTTCAAGGGCAAACACATTCTCTACAAGCTCTGAACCCACTTGAGTGAATGACATGACACAAATGCATATGGCAGAAGCACTTCTTTAGACTGATCCTTGTTATCAAACCTTCAGACATTGTCCGTTGTACGAGCTAATAAATAACTCCATCCATGGCACAACATCACATTTACCACTTTTTGAGTTTTGTGTGCCACAAAATTGTCGGTCTTCTGGACACATACAGTGTACAGCATACAAATCACAGACGACAGAGCTGTCTACAAGCTGTCGCACCTAAACATGCTAACTATGAACACTGATATAATAATGATTATTTAACATGTTTTACTTAACACATAATTGTGCATCCGGTACTCACAAATGTATGGGATGGATGTGAGAAAAACATGTGTTACACCCTGAGGGATCCACAATAATATTAACTGTACCAAGTACTTGAAAGGAATATAAAGTTCCTAAAATTAAAATACAGTCAGGCACCGTTGTCTCGATATTCATGGGACCAAGAAAAAATATCGAGTTATCCAAACTTCAAGACATCCAACCAGGACATGTCATCACTTTGAATTAAAACAAAACACTTCTCAGTATGTTTTGATTCGAACTATAATCCGTTATCAGTAGTGTTTAGTCGTAACAGTGAGTACTTCCTAATTAAATCCTTCTTAATTAATCCTAATTAAATAACAAACAAGTGACACCTTCAACTCAATTAGCTCAAATTAGTTTACACTACCACATCCCTTTGATTCATGCCGCACCGTGTGTAAACGTGTGGAAACAACCTCAGGGATACTTGCCCATGAAAGGTAGGTGAATATCAAGTTTCTTTGCAAATACGAGTTAAAAGGGTAATTTCGCTTGTTGGGACCATGAAATTATATCGAGATAACCGAAATATTGAGACATCCATATCGAGTTAAAAGAGCTTGAATAATGATAAGTTATGAAGGATTTTGCCGGGACCAAGTTGTTATAACGAGACAACAGAGATATCGAGTTATCAGAGTTCAACACAACAGTGCTCGGCTGTAATTACTAAATCTTATGGCTTAGTACACTGCACCATTTCATTACTACAAAGGACCCTTATATTTCGTGTAACAACACTTGAATTTAGTGAAGATCCTCCCAACCCAAAGTTTTGTAGGTCAAAACCAATATCAAACCTATCTTAAGATATATATGTGAAATCTGTTCAACAGTGATGTAACGTTATGAATTGACTGGAGAATATAATCTATTTTTCTATCTACCCATTTTCAGGGGTTATCCTTAGTTCACATTTCTGGGGTTCAACCCTTTCATTCAGAAAAAAGCTGCACTATTCTTCCGAATAAACCATCTAAACTTAACTGCACTTTAAAAGTTCTTGTTCCAAAAATTGATCACAATTTGATGCATAAGCTATTCTGGTTTGTCTTTCAAAAACTGTGTTTACCATACAACTCAGATGTCCAATAATACAATAGTAATCT